TAAAGTGCATAGATTATTTGAAAAAATTGGATATTGAAATCTGTGTTAATCAAGTTTCATGGTACTTGAGAGATATGAACTTCAATGTTTCAGAAAATGGAAGAAAGAATCAATGGTTTTTCTACTCATATGGGGAAATCAAATGTTATTCTATTATATTGTTATAACATGTGTGTTTGTGTCCCTATCAATATATACCGTAATGATACCGCCAATTAGAGAACAGTGATTTATCGACCAAACCAATGATGCATAAAACAAACACGAGCAGTTTAATGTACTTACCGATCCTACTTACTGCCTAGCCCAGCCGATTGATTCCAGAACACCAATCTCAGCCTCTGCAATATGAATCATGTGTTTCAATCATACTCGATTTATATATCAAGCAGACAGACCACATCGTACCATAAAACAGGAAACAACATTTGTTCAAGATTTAGCCAAAAGTGTCTCTGAATGTGGGAGATAGTAAATGATAGACTGGGTATAACTCAAGAATGGTAAATCGTATAGTAATAGTTCATAGGTCAAGGGCGATTTGGTCTGCTGATCTGAACGTGAGACGGAAGTCTCGTCCGTAGATGGTGCAGATGACGCGTGCTGTTGACTGGGACGTGAGAATTAGGTTTCTGTTGTACCTAGCTTGGGATTCGAGGTAGATGTAGAGATCACGCTAGCACGTTTGATAGGTCTAGCATTGTGTCTCAAGTCATCAAGTAGGGCACTGTCATCGACGTGTGCTGGTTTGAGACGATCAATGCTGACGATCTCGACGCGTCCGTGTCGATCAACCCTGAGGGTCTTTTTCTGACAAGAAATCACGTGAAAATGTCCTTCGTAAGGCTGTTGCAGAGGTTTGCATACCGAGTCTACACGTATGAAAACATGTGAACAGGTAGATAACTCTTTCGTGCCGTATACAAGTTCGGCGGCGGAACATTAAGTATCTGCCTTCAAGCTCGTTCTGATGCCTAAAAGAACGAGCGGTAGGGTTTCGTACCAATTGTCGTTTTCGTGTACTCGAAGAGCACTTTTAAGTTGGCGATGAAACCGTTCAACTAAACCATTTGATGCTGGGTGGTAGGCGGTAGTGCGTATGTGTTCCGTACCAAGCAGCCGGGTCAGTGAGGAGAATAATGCGGACTCAAATTGTTGTCCTCGGTCAGTCGTGACAGTCGAGGGACAACCGTACAGCGCCATCCATCGTTCTACGAAGCGGTGAGCAATTGTCTCCGCCGTAATAGACGTGATGGCAATAGCTTCGGGCCATCTTGTAAAACGGTCAATGCACGTGAGTATGTGATCATACCCATGCGATGGTGCCAATGGTCCCACAATGTCTGCATGAACGTGATCGAAGCGAGCATCAGGCGTAGCGAACGTGCCAATGGGGGCAGCTACGTGCCTGTGCACTTTTGATCGTTGACACTGTAAGCATTGCTTTACCCACATACGAACATTTTTATTCATGGACGGCCAGACGTATCGTGCAGCGATGAGACGTAATGTAGCTGCGATACCTGGATGAGACAATCCATGTAGGGCATCGTTGACAAAACGGCGATAATCAGAGTGTACGATGGGTCGAGGAAGACCGGTAGAAGTATCACATAGGATAGTACCTGAGCTAGTAGCTAGGGGTACTTCCTGGCACTGAAGGGACGAAGATTGTGGTGCTTCTGTACAGACAGTATCGTTTGCTTGCGCGGTGGCCATAGCAGGAAGATCGAGCACCGGTAAGGCAACTGCATTCGTCTGGATACGTGAAAGAGCATCGGAAACATAGTTCGACTCGCCTTTAATGTGACGAAGGTCTGTCGTGAACTGGGAGATATAGTCTAAATGTCTGCACTCTCGTAGTGAGTAGCGGTCAGACTTGGTATGCAGGGCATACGTTAAGGGCTTATGGTCGGTGAATAAAATGAAATGGCGTCCTTCTACTGCGTGCCGGAAATGTTTGATGGCGCAGTAGGCTGTAAGCAGCTCGCGACCAAAAGCGCTATATCTCGTCTCCGTGGGAGTAAGGCGTCGTGAGAAAAATTCAAGGGGTTGCCAACTACCGGAGATATTCTGTTGCATAACGGCTCCTACGGCGAAATCCGATGCATCAACCGCTATACTAGGCGTGGCTGATGGGTCAGGATGAGCGAGAGCCGTTTTGATCTCTGAAAATGCAGTACGTGCGGTATCGTTCAATTCTAATTTGCGTGGATTGCCGCGTAGTAAATCAGTTAATGGTCGTAACCGTTCTGCTGCGTGCGGGATAAATCGTCGGTAGAAGTTAACCAAACCGAGGAAAGCCTTCAGTTCCTTGAGTGAGGACGGTACGTACATAGCTTATTCTAGATTTCGGACGGGCCAATCTATTCATCCTATTTGAGTCACGTTACGACTATGTCAACTATTCGCTTGTCAACCTTGACTGCTTTTATATAAGCATATTTGTGTGTACATCTTATCTTACTCATCACATGTCCGTAGCTTATTTTTTTGACTATAGATATTGATTGATGCTTGATTAAATCAAGTTGGCTTAAATGCTTACTCTACTGCACGCTGTTTCGTTCCGATCCCTCTCTTCTCTTCGCTTTCTTTGCTTCATCTCTCTGCTTGTCTGTCCAGATCAAGGAGCGTGCGAAATATATGTATCCAAAAATTTTTAGTGGCGTTGGGCCCTACCACGAAACGATATGAGAAATAGACATTAAAAATTTAACGCAGAGAAATACAGAAGAATGCAGAAGGCGGGGAGAATGAATTGAATTAATTGGATTTAATCTTATGGCATGGCTCGAACATGCAGGCGTGGTCCCTCCTGAAGTTTACCTTATATCTTTCATTCATATTAAATATATTGTCCTATCTGCAGCCTAAGATTGTTCTTTATCATATATCGGCAGTTGTTACGATGCAGTGAGTCGGTGTAAATGATTATGTGACTTCCGTGTAAGATCTCATAGATTAGGCAGTTACATCATAACAAATCTACAATTTTAGGATTAGGTCTATTATTAGAGCAGCGCTAATATCATAGTAGACCGTAATTCTACAAATTCATTCTCGGATTTGACATATTTAATTCCGTTATACATTGACGCGATAATTTTATACGAGGATTGACTATATGTACATTTCAATAACCATCAACCATACCATATTACTGGAGTCAGATACAGGGCCTATTAACCAGTGTCAGCTTTTCATTCAATACATCTACTACGTGTAAAATCTTGTTCAGTAAGCATAGAAGAAAGACTATACCTACCCTTTATCACGCAAGTTTTGGGTACGCTAGGAGGAAAGTGGTTCAGAGGTTTTGTGCATACGTGCATGACAGTTGTTCAGCAGAACGAAATAGCAAGTTTGATGTCTGGAACCAATGCAGAAGCAAGTTCCAGTGGACGTTTCTTCCCTTTATATACATCCGCTCATAGTTTATTTCGATAAATTAGCTTCGTATTATATCTCATACTGACCGTTACAACGAGATAAAATTGGTGGCTAAATTGTTTGCAATTGGTTTCAATCGTAACTGTTTTAACTTGGGTAGAAGCCCTTGGTGTTTACGTGACCTGAATCGTCTCCCGTTGGTAGCGCATAATAGACTTCATCAGTACTTTCAGTACCACTAGCATAGGGATTGGGATCCAAGAGAGACAGATAATCTAATCCCTCTTCTGCTAGCACGTTTTTCAAATGAGTTATTCAGGCAGTACAAATAGACTTATCGTGGCTGCGGAATAGCATTAAACCTTCGAGAGGGTTTAGAAAATGAAGGACCGGGTCACATTCGTGATTGGCTAATTAACAATAACACTGCCATATTTCACACGTTTACAGACAGCTCTCGAAGACCAATACCAAATAAAACTACATAAGTTGCATCGGCTTTTGTACATATCCAACCTTGAAGTCGATTTCTTTCTTTCCTACTTCTTGAGTCAAAGTGTAATCTGGGACTACAGAATGTGGTTCAGAAATCAGTATAATGAGTTTCAGTGGCAAAAGTTCCAACAATCTTATCGGTAAGCATGAATGTGTCTATCAAACGTCTTAAAAGAGAAAACTTCTGTTGCTTGCCAAGGCAGGTGATCTGTTTGGATGGTTGAGGTATACTGAAGCTGGACAAGTATAGCGTGACCTTCGAACTTACATCCAAAGTCACACCTCGTGGTTAATACCTGACATGAATTTCACTTTCGTGGTATTCAAGCCTTAAATGTGTCATCAGTGAGGAATTGTATTAACAAGCACAGGCTATTGCCATCAGGAGGACAATGACATCAGATACGGTGCATCTGTCACATTTTCTAAAGAACTTGGAGTCATCGCTACCACTGATGGGACGTCTTTGTTTCGATATAGTTGGCTATATTTTTTTAGCACATACTTGATTTAAGGTATGGAGGTGACTTTAAGTAGTGGAAACTTCAGGCTACGAACCTATGAGAGGTCTTGAATTTTTTTCCACCGAGACCTAACTGCTGAACCTGTCCAACATCACAACATGGAGAAAACCTATCTCGAAATCTATGAGGACAGACGATAGCATCTACCAGTCAGGGTTTTCGACCCCTAAAGATGTGTGTACAGAGTATCAATGAGTCAAAGAATTCGATTGCTCTCTACAGTGAAATTATTCGTAGTGCTGAAATAATATCACACATGAGGATAGAGATACATGATTCTTATTCGCAAATATAGTAAAATAGCCAGCCAGTTCACTATGTCATGAGACTTATAAATGCATACATGGTTACAACCACTAGCTTCAAAAGTCGCGCCATTGTTACATTTTGTAACTAAAACCATAAATTTAGGCTTTTTCAAAAGCATTTCTTAGACGATCAACAATAAAGTGTATTTCTAGTACTTACTACGTAGTCACCATGGCATCGTGTCTTGTTGTACTGATCTGGACTTTGCGTAACTTAGCTCGAGTTTGAATGGATCTGAGGGGGTCTCCTAGCTCTTGTGGTCTTATGCACCAATGAAATATGGCGGATTATGATGGTGGCATTCTAGCTGTTGGGATAAATGTAGATATACAAAGAACAGATGGTGAGTACATCAAGTCTGAGTAGTGTGAGGAATTATGCCCATAAATACTTCGTACATATCAGATTTAGTAAACAGTCTTAATTGTCGAAACAAGAGGATTGTATGTTCAGTATCTTCGGAACTCGTAAAATAATGTGTGAATGTCTAAGATGTTTAAATATCTAGCTCTAAAAATCTAGAACTACATGAGTATAGAATATATCTCATAGTTTTCTAAGTAATGCTTCATTGATTTCAAAATATATATTTTGGAAGTAATATATATATATATATATTGCTACTAAGTCAGTTGAAAGATTCCAAATAAATTTCCTGGTGACATGTTAAGCATTTTTTTGTGAGTTATTGGTAAGGGTGCTGCGTTGCCAAGATCATAAAGCCGGTTGTCCAATGGTCTTGACATTCTCGTTGGAGTGTTTTCCGTAGGTCTTTGGAAATACTTCTCAACTCCAAGTTTGTAGATTGGCACTCCAAGTTGGTGGAGCAATCTGTTTTCAGCTTACATGTCTCAGGTTTAAATTATACCCAGATTATGCAACTGGGTGTTGCCAAGTACCGAGTACATAACACCTGTCATGTTCCCAGTATTATTTATACTCAGAAAAGTGGTTTTGGTCTGAATCTCAAGAATCATTGTGCGGGCTTGTGTTCATTCGGCAAGCTACATCTCACCAAATTTTAACTCAAACTTACATTTAATTATCTTGATGAATTTTTATAAAGCTAGGACAACACTGGTGAGTGTTTGATATCTAGTATTTTGTTATAAAAACACTGACTTAAACACCTGAGGAGAGACCACAAAGTTAAGTGAGTTCTTATTCGGCTTCATTGTTCTGGCTTTATTCATAACTGAAAGCGAGTAGTGGTGAGACAACGGTTTTCTACGTACATTTGATGGATGGAGGTAATGTACATCATACTAGTTTTATGGACCAACTCGGTGAATGACCATCATTTAAGTATTATTTCATAATTTTTGGTAGTCGAAATGCATCATGACGTGTGTCGTAGTCAACCTGGCTGGCTATTCGTAATGAGGCTAAATTTGATATTCGATCCAGTTTATCGTCTAAAAGATAAGTTGACTAATGAGTTATGTGTTGTTATTTTTGGTTTTACACAATTTTCACGAGTTATGTATATTCTTTGGTCTAAACACCTCATGCGTAAAGTTTTTTAAATGTATTGTTTTCATGACTTTTTTGCCTAGGTCGTGTACATTCGGCTATTGTGAGTGGTATAAATCCCAACACGAAAAGTGTGACAGTAGAATGGTATGAAAAAGGAGAAGCTAAAGGAAAGGAGGTTAGTACAGCATTAACTGATTTGATGTTCTATTTTGACATTGCAGTTAACTGTTATCTTTTTCTACTTAAACAGACAGTGATTCGACAAACTTTTATCATAACTAGAATTGATTCATTGAAAATAACTTTGCAAGTCCTTAATTTCCTGTATTCCTAGGTACAATGATGAATATTACTGGTTAGTCAGTGAGTCATTGTTAACGTAGACATCAACATGGTCTGGTACAGGTGCGTGTTGCCGTAAGTTACTGTACCACATTAGCACTACTCAATCAAGTGAACAAAACGAATAGCAAGAGGTCAAAATAATTTAGTAACAGCGAAAATAAGAACGAATAAGCAGTAAGAACTTAATTCGAAAAGAATACTTGAATTTAAAGCGAGATCAAGATAACGAGTGAATGAAACTGGGCCATTGTAACAGATTCCAAATCATTCCATTCAATCTTCAGCCACTAGTGATTATATGTACATTTATGTCACTGGCGATTTTACAAGTCTAAGATCTCTGCTTAAATTCTAAGCCCACTGATAGTGAGTCTTTTAAGATTCATGGACTGACAGTTCTAAGTCTTACTTACCGTCATCCTAATAATCAGTTAGTCTGAGAATGTTTTCAAATTAAGTAATGCAGATCAGGGCCAGTTCAAAAGGTTTCCTAGTGAGGGTAGTAATCTAAGAGTAGCTATCTGTTTACTAATCTATTTAGATTCAATAATGAATGATCACTTGTATATATGCTAATCCGCAAACATGGGGATTTAAATGTCACATCGATTGTTAGTAAGATAACGTTGATATTGCTATAAAAATGTCTACAGTCTGCTTTGCTAACGAGCTAATTTAGTTTTGTAGTGTATAATATCTCCTAAAGACCTGGCATGAAAAACGAACATATTGAAAAGAATGATGGAATCCTGTGTAGCCGTCTAGGCATATATAAATATGTTATTTGCACTATATAGAAGTAAAATACCACATTAGTGATTACCTTCTTCTCAGTTTTTTTTATTATTGTTAGTAAAATTGATTATATGAATAATTTTTACAGTCATCCAATTTCTTGGTTTTATTTTTTTTGTTCAGATAGAATTGGAAGCAATACTTCAATTGAACCCGAATTTGCGATATTCATGTGTAAGTCATTTTTATGTAAGGTTTTGCATTGAGTATACCTTTTCTGTTAACATTAAAAGTTAATGACATTATTTGCTTAGTCGAAATCTTCAGGCACTTTGGTAGTACGTACTTGCATTAGTCGACTTCGTCCGTTTCCAGCGACTGCCAGATGACAACCTGTAGATGATTTTCATTTTTGATGAGTACCGGCTTCTGGGTGGGATGTAATAAGAATAACGTATGTATCACTGTGGGGCAAGTTTCATTTAACGATGTTATTGAAATCAGGTATCAGGCACTGAACCAAGATCTAATTGCGCAAAGAATTTCCTCGGTTACGAATTCTTAATGAAAGAAATGCGATTGTATGATGTTTGTAAGCTCCTAAAAATAAACATCTACATACTACTTTATGATTATCATTTTCGTAACGAAACCCATAAGTTATTGTAACCCATCGGTAGTTGATTCTATCGTACTCATAGGAAGTAATCTTGATTATAGTTCGTTTCTTCAAGAGTATAGATGATCGATTCTCAAAAGCACCTTTACAAATTTATCTTTTTTTTCTGTCACGTGCAGTTACTCCTTTCTGCCATCTTAATTGTTTGGTTAGAGTTGACGAAGATAAAATGTAAATATGGTTGTGAGATGTTTTATGTTGTTGGGTTCGTTCTTGTCAATTCTGTAGCCGAGCTATTGTGTAACGTGTAACCTCGTTTTTTTTAAAGTTATGAGTCATTAATAGTTGCATCATAGTGGGGTTGGGAGGGACCATAAATTAATTAGCAGTTATGCTAAGCGAATAATTTAAGTACAGGTGTATTGGTTTTTACAATTTCAATATAAATTTATACCTTTAGGAATTTTGAATTGGTAGTAAAATAATATAATTTTTTCCATATCAAATGCAAATTAAATTTTTAGCCCATCGTAGATAATGTTTGTGGGACTGCTGATATCAGTCGAAACAATGTAGTTAAAGAAGTTCCGAATTCCTCACACCGTCCTGGAGTCAATCTTCCTACTGATATACGTCAGTCGCAAAATTCTGTTCCTGTGGCGGCTTCTGCCCCTGTTCTCGCTCCATCTAGTAACAAAGTTAACGCCACTCAAATAGAATACTCATCTAATAATCAATCTCGTTTGATTGCTCCATCAACACGCGTTCCTGTCCCATCTTCTCGTGTGCCTATTAGCCATGTTCCCACTCGCTCTACAACAATATCAGCCTATGATGACCGTACAAATAACTCCTCTCGACCTCAAGCTTCTCTCCCGGTACATAATTCTGTGGATATTAGTCACACTCACAATGAAGGTTTGTTTTCCCCCTTATAAGCATGATTTCGGAAATAATTTGAAGTTCGTTTGTTGGGTAATTCCATGTATGAAAAAACTAAAACCTTACAGAGTAGTTTATCTAATCTCAGTTTTATTTCAGTATGTAGTCACGAGTTTATATTAATTTAGTTTTGTGTAGGAGCCTAGCGATCACTTATACTTTTGTACGACTGAAAAGCTTAACTAAAATAATCGGTTCAAACATTTAAAAGCCATAGAATGGCGGTATCTGTCTATTAAATTTTGAAGATGTGTGTATGAACTGTAATTCCTTAAAATCCGGCATGCTTAACGCGCCTAAGATGCCCTAGTTACATTTTGCACCGATTAAATGAAGTCCAGAAACATATAAATTCTGTGATATTTATAGAAGTTGTAAAGAGTTTACTTCAGACTCACGTAAAAATAGACATAAAAGGCACTTGGTTATGAGCTGGTAATTGTCTAGAATTAGAAATTGACCGAACGGGTTGCTTAATGATTGAACAACATTCGAATAGTTTACATAAGTTTAGAGATTCAAGTGAATGAGAAAACCAATTGATAAAGGGATGGTCTTGGTTTATATAAAATCAGGTTTGAGTTTCTTTATTGCTACTGCTTCTGTCTGTCACTACTGTTCGAAGTGTCGGTTACTGTGTTATCTAGGAATTTCAAGTACTTTGTGATTGGTTGGAAAAAAGTAAATTCGTTTAATTCATGCTGACAACATGCAGTTAGGCTTCTTTTGTGATGAGTAACTTGAAATTAACAGTGGCTATTTGTTATTGATGCATGCACACACTAAATTCATTTCAGTAAAGTTTAGAATAAAGGAAATAGTTCTTAAACTTTATTATTGTATTTATTAGTAGAAAGCTAGATACCTCGTTGTGAAGAATCTAATTAAGTAATTGTAAATTTGTTAACCAAGTACTGACTTATGTACTCATCTTCTAGTTATAAACTGTTACTCAATAGCTCAAATTGATTTAGGAGTAAAGATGTTTAAAACTACAACCTCACATCTAAAGAAATATGGATTTACTGTTGTAAAGTATAACCATAATATGCTTCACGAAATTGTCATCTCGGAAATTTATAATTGAAGTTAGACATTAATACCGCTGGATGCCAGCTCAGTAATCTAAAGGTTAAGTGTTTGCGCGCGAGACTGATAGGTCTTGGGTTAGAATCTCTCGGGGCGGGATCGTGGATACACACTGCTGAGTTCCATACTAGGATGAAACGGCCGTCCAGTGCTTCCAGGTTTTTCATGATGGTCTACCTTCAATTGACTCATGAATTCAATTATTCAATTGAATTTTATTTGACTCAAATCTACACTATAACTCCTTCCCATTTTTCTCGCTTAAATATACGTGATCCAATCAATACTAGACATACATTATTAATAAATGTAAATACTATCTCACCGACATTGTAATGTTTCATTCTTTACCATTTATGTTGCCTACATATTATACCCCTACTGATGAAACATTTATTACACAATGTTATTAGTCATATTCTTATTATTATTTTACATTATCACTGCGAAATATAGATTTATTTAGTATGTATGAAGTCGATATTGTTTCTGTTGAGATTGTTTCATAAATTTGTGCAGGTTAAATGACAGACAAGTCAACTAATCAACATTTTTATTTAAGTAAAATATAAAGTGCTAGTTGATTGCGAATTAGTAACTAATGACATCATGAGACTTGTACTAAAAGCTCACTTGGTTTCTGCTAACTTATGACACAAGTGAAATGTGTATCTGATTATTAATTAGTATGTAAAACATATAAATTTCAACTCATTTTTTACTTGACGGTTGGAAAATATGAATTTTTTAAGTAAAGATTGGTTAGTATTTTAGAAGCATTCCTAGTGCCAGGTGAAATCCCCAACTAATTAATGCTAAGGTTAAATGTAGAGTACTAGGTAGTGACATTTAGTCGGTTAGTAAAGTTATAAATCTTGATCGACTGAGATCATTGGAATATGTGCCATACGTATCTACTCGCCAACTATTCTGACGTGCTTGTTTTAGGGTGGGTGAGAAAAAGGTTGAGGTTCACAAAGTAATCACCATCTGTAAAAACTAGTCGCACTGGAGCAAGTGTATCCACTTTTTTTAAAAAAAAAACTAGAGTAATTTTTCCTCAAAATCTATGAAGTATGACAACCTATACATGTATCCATACATAACATTTCATTTTGTTCAGACCTTTATATCTGTTTATATTATTCCTAAATCTTACATTTATATGATTAGGATCCCGTTATAATGTACATCAACATCGTGCAATTTCTGATGAGCCAATGGATGAAGATATGGAACCATCTGAATCTGTTCAACTGGACCACAATGATTATAATCATGTGACCAGTATGTTACGGGAACCTGAAAATAATACTTTACTCACTGAACGAATGGAACAGGATATGGGTGATGTAATTGAAGATAACCTTCAATCAGGAATAATCAATGGGAACCGTGGCTTTGCAGGTGATGCTTCCCGCCGTCTGATAGGTATGAAACATTGAAATAAAAAGAACATGTCAGATTATAACTTCTCATTAATTTTTTTGCACAGTTACAGACATTGGTATGATTAAGTTTTGATGAACGTTGATGCACAGTGCAAATTGTATACTCAGTAGAAATTACTGGATGAAATGAAGAGTCATTAATCACTTGGATTGTCTTCATTCTAATTTTCGATTGGTCATTTTTTATCTGATAAATAGCTTGTAGTCACTCTATTATGGTATAACACTTGATATATTACATGTCCAGGCAGTTAACTTGATTTATTTTTTCTGGTTAGCGTTTTTATAGCGAGTTAGTTTTCTACGGGATAGGGTCGCTAACACCTTGCCCAACCCTCCTTTATCCGGGCTTGGGACCGGCAGTAGTCTTAGGGGGGTTCTAGGCGGAGTTAGTCAGTTAACTTACGGGGTTTATTTTCTAGAATCAATCCAATTGAGATTTGAGCATTAATCTCGTAAAGAAAATCACCAATTTGTTTATCTCAGTTATATCTATTTTGTGCTTAAATTAGTTGTGTTGTCATATCGGTTACTATAGACAACCAACACCTAACGATCACTATGACGCTAAGATTATGATGTACATTTTGTTACCGCCAATCTAGTTGTAATGTAAAGGGAAAATACAAGGTGTTGATGTATTGCTTACTACCAGAGGGGATGGGAAGTTAGCGATTGAAATGTAACGTAATAATAAGTAAGAAGAAATTTTCAAAATCATCTCAATCAAAATGTTTTCAAATAAATAAGAAAAACGCAATTAGTTAATAAATTTTTGTAAAATAATAACTCTTAGTAGAACTTAAATTACCCAGTTTCCTATGTTATTTCACCAATAATTGAAGGTTTTAATAGACAGTGAATCAATATTTTATAACATTGGTCAGTGACAGAGCTTGATTGGATTCTTGAAAAAAGCTTTCTGATAAAATCTCCATCTGATTCTGGTTGTTAAAGTTCCAGCAACTAGTGATTAGCGCCGGTGCATATCACACCTTGTAATTTTCATATTATGCTTGTGTATATAAGTTCAGTATACATTCTATTTGATCTTTAGGAGCTATCTTGTACATATGTGTTTGCTTTTCCACATTGAAACAGTTTGACGTCAATATGCTCTCAGTGTAGAGTTGTTTAATAGTTTTTTTGTTTTTGGTTGTTACTGTTAACTTAGGTCGCGCAAATTCTAATTTAGGCGCACCTACTGTAAATAGTACATTGTCTGCACTGAATACAAGTTCAGTTACTGCTGCTCCTGGTATTAACGCTGGTGGTAGTGGAACTTTACGCAAGTCTAATTGTGTGAAAGAAATCGAGCGAATACAACAGCGACGTGAAGAACGGCGTGCTGCCCAGAAAGCAGTTCGTGATCAAATTGATTTAGATCCAACCAATCCTAGTTATGAGTTTCATATGATGATTCAGTAAGTGTTGTGTTATATTTGTGTCTGTCCCACTAATTGCCATCAATATGTTATCGTTTTGCTTTTATATCATCATAATATCACATATCAAAATTGTTTAATTACGAGTTGTTCTCAATTAATTGAAGTACTGAAAGCAAAATATACTGCTTATCGGTTTGACTATAATTTTTTAACTTTTGGGATCAAATTCTGACATCCTGAAAAGCTATTTGACAATAATTAGCTGTTTATTCACCACCGGGTAAGTAATAGTGAGGTTAGACGCAGGGTATTAGGGAATGATGGCAAATCAGTTGATGAGGTTATGAACCTTCATCGACTGAGATGGTTGGGCCACGTGCTACGTATGCCTGAACACCGATTACCACGACGCGCAATGCTCACTGGTGTTAGGGATAATTGGAAGAAAGCTAGGGGCGGCCAAACTAAAACGTGGCATCAGTGCTTGAAGTCACTAACTTCTGGTCTGAGCCATGTTGGTAGATGCAGACTGCCTGGTTGGGGTCCGCGTGACTATCGTAACCGATGGTTGGAGACTCTTGGTGACATGGCTTAGAATCGATCACAATGGCGTCGGTGTATACACTCTTTGTCTTCCTTTAAACTAAGAGATTAAAATCACTTCAAATCTTTCTTTCTAGGAAATAATTCTATCCTCCTGTACTATCTCCTTATACACACTCTTTCTTCTATATATTACCACCACTGAATTAACTACTTCTATGAATCCGGTGTTCATCTTGTTGTGCTAATGCGGTATGGCAACTTGGACCGATGCATATACGTGCCTGGTCCTACGTTGTAGCTGACTGACTGACTGATTCGTTCGTATATCCTTTTGCCTCTTTATCTATTTGTCTTCTACGTTCACTTGTATTCTCTCTAGTTGTAGTATTCATATCAACTTCACTTTCTACATCGTTTAATATTGTAATATTATATGTATCCTTAAATTTGTAACTCATCCATTTTCCAATGTTTATTACATATGCGGTACCTAACATTTCCAAGTCTTTTTTTCAGTTCATTTATTTCATAAATGTTGAATATAAGGAGCATAGTTTTCATTGACGATTTCATTTCCACATCTAACTTCCACTTTACTCGCTTTTATCATCTGGAAAGTTGAGATACTCTACAATGGTGTGTTCATAGAATACATGTGTTCACAGCTTTAGATCATTAAAATAAAATCCCCAATAAAAATTGTGTCCATCCACTGAATCAACGGAAAAGTACTTGATAATGCTAAATATTTTACTTTTATTGAACATTGAAAAAAAGTATGGTTAATCTGACGTCAAGTAGATAACTAAACTCAAAAAGTATATATATATATATATATATATATATATTTAATTTTTAGTGAATATCGAAATACATTGGAATACAGACCCTTAACCAATGCAGATCTAATAGAAGATCATCAAATATGTGTTTGTGTACGTAAACGTCCGATGAACAAGAAAGGTAAGTTCCACTGTTTTATCTTTAAAAACATATGAATTATCGTTCGATCATCAGTCATTTCAATTCATATTTAATATGATCAGTATGTCTGTCTTTATGAGTCGATGTTTTGTTAATATTTTGAGCCTCCACATTCATTTTATACAACCGAAAATACGTTTTGAAACACAGCCATTGTTTACTTCATAGATATTGTCATATGTCTGGTACGGTCGAGAGTGGGGAGTCAGCCTTCCGATGCCCCTTTTAACAACCAGAGCAACAATGAACATAGGTACATGGAACGTCCGGACAATGTGGGAGACCGTGAGGACCAGTCAAATGACAACGGAAATGAGGAGATATAGCTTGGCAGTACTCGGAATCAGCGAAACCCTTTGGACCCAAGTTGGACAGCAAAGGCTAGTTACGGGAGAGATTCTGCTGTACTCCGGTCACGAAGAGTAAAATACTCCATACACTCAGGGAGTTGTTCTGATGCTGTCCAAAGAAGTACGTGGTGCACATATGGGATGGGAATCTCACGGATCCAGGATCATCAAAGCCTCCTTGAAAACAATGAAGAATGGGATTCACAATGAGTGTTATGCACCCATTAATGATAGGAACGACGACAATAAAAATCAGTTCTATGAAAGGCTGCAATCAACTATAGCGAAGTGCCCAACAAAGGATCTCACCATCCCGGTGGGAAACCTAAATATCAAAGTCAGAATAGATAACACCGGATTTGAAGACATCACAGGACGGGGAGAAGGAAGAACAAAAAGACAACAATTAACAACAGCCTCAACACACACAAAGGAAAAGGCAAGATATTCAAATACAACAGAGAACACTAACACAATCACACTTAATGGAGAAACTCTGGAAGATATGGCATCCTTCACGTACCTGGGAAGCATCATCGATGAACGTGGAAGATCGAATGCAGATGTAAAGGCGGGGATCGGCAAAGCAACAACAGCATTACTATAGTTGAAGAACATATGGAACTCAAAACAATTGTCTCTCAACCAATATCAAAGTCACAATCGTCAATACGAATGTCGAGACAATCGTACTGTACGGAGCTGATAGGTGGAGAACTACTACAATCATCATCAAAATGGTGTAAGTATTTATAAACAGTTGTCTACACAAGATACTCAATATCCGTTTGTCGAATACCATCAGCAACAGCCTACCTAGAAAACAAGTAATGCTTTTCCGAAGTGTGATTGAGTTATTACCAAGTTTATGATCAATTATAGTACTATCTGTCAATGCTTCCAAAACTTCAAGTTTTTCTGTAATCCTATTCCTATAAATACCTTCGTTCTTTGTGCATAAATTAATCGTGAAAGTAGAGCTTTCTTCATATTTTCCACCTACAGTCTACTCAGAGTTCAAGTATTGAATAGTGTAGAAACCTTGAAATTAGTTAGACTGTCAATATGACGAGAGTTCTGTGTACCAAATACAATACTATTATTCTTAAACTGATTGAACTGTTGATTGTAAGAAAATATTTCTCTCAATTTTTTTTTCATTTATAATTATAATAGAACTTGGCCGTCGTGAAATCGATGTGATCACAGTCCCGAATAAACAACATGTACTTGTCCATGAACCAAAAACTAAAGTTGATCTAACGAAATATCTTGAAAATCAACAATTTCGTTTTGATTATGCATTTGATGATACATCGGATAATGAACTCGTAAGTTCTGTATTCTTAGTATTTCCAAATGGTATCATTAACAATCGTCTTGGAGTTGGTTAAACAACCTCTATACTTGTGAATACAATAAAACAAAAATCTTTACGAATGATTTTTTAAAATTGACTAATCATTGGATAATAGTAACCACTGTCATATTCGTCTCATCCTTAGTGGTAGTTGTATTCTATCAATTAAACATGTAGGAGACTATATCTTTTTACAATTTTCGTCTACATGTCGACAGATTGCAGCTTGAATGGACTGAAGAATGGATCCCATCAATAGTCAAATATCAACCAAGCACGTTCTACAGACATTGTATTAGTTGGGGATTTCAATAGATGTGTTTAGGGACAAAGAGGAGTCGTCCAATTGGTTAATGGGAACCGCTTTCTGCAGCTTTGTAAAAACCACGCATGTTCCTGGTCATCATCAGCTATCATTTACTGATAACATAAATGTGTACTAGATTGTCTGCCACTACTTTTTAATCACTTATGTAAACCCTTATTCTCTAGCATCGATAAAATTATTGTTTATTTATTTATTTGAACACATAAATATTAGTACAAGGGGGGCACCAAATATATATGCGCCACACAAAACAATGATAATTTGAAGAGAAGGAGAAAAGAGAAAAAAAAAGAAAAAAAAAAGTAATGGACGTGGGGAATTATAAAAAAAAAGGAAGCGAGAGAGAACAATGGTGGGGGAAACGGAAAGGTACAATCAGAAGAGATCTTTCAGTTAAGGAAGATACAACCACTTTTTATGAAGAAAGTAAAAGAAGGTTACAGCACGATCGCCACTGGCTTCTATTCTGAGCCATATCTAATAACGTCTCTAGCCACTGCGTTACACCGTCTCTCGGACCCCAACCAGGGAGTCGTGAAGGACCAACAGAAGCTAGCCCTTTGCAGCTTTCTTTCACACCACGACACCATGTCATATACTGACCACCTCTCCGCTTTTTCCAACCAGTCCCAGAGTCGGCAAATAATGCACGACGATGAATTCTCTGGGACGACATTCGTAAAACATGTCCAAGCCACCGAAGTCGGTGTTTCAAGATGGTGACACCAATTTCATTATCGTCTCTGTGACCGAACACTCGATGCCGAACCTCTGCATTACTGACATGGTGTTGCCACTGGATGCCAGCAATCCTTCGGAGACAACGATGATCGAACACAGAGAGTCGTCTAACATCCTCAACTCGGAGAGGCCAGGTTTCACAAGCATAGAGCAAAACTGCTCTCACCGTCGCGTTGTAGATCCGACCTTTTACAGCCAGACTAACATCACGAAGGCGCCAAAGATGGCCCAGATTGGCATAAGCCGCTCTGGCTTTCACTATACGTGCATTGATCTCATCACTCACACCACCACCAGCACTTATGCAGCTACCTAGATACACGAACTTCTCGACTACTTCAATCTGCTCACCATCCAGAGTGAGTACAGGATTAGAATCCTGCCAGTCTTGTAGAAGAACTTTGCACTTCGAAGGTGCAAAGCACATACCATACCTACGGACACTGATTGCCAACTGATTAAGTGCGGATTGCATAGCTTGGGCATTCTCGCACAGTAAGACAATATCATCCGCATACTCAAGGTCGAGAAGTCTTTCTCCAGGCAACAGATCCACACCACCATTACTTACATCCGTCAGAGCTGTTTCCAGAATGTCATCGATGGCAAAGTTGAAGAGGAATGGTGAGATTGGGCAACCCTGCCTAACCCCACTGCTCGAATGGAATAGTGGAGAAAGGTGATTGTATGCCCTCACTCTGCCTGAGGTGTTTGTGTATAGGGCTTTTAGGATGTTAATAAACTTCTCAGGCACACCCTTCTTCAATAGACAATCCCAGAGAACAGTTCTGTCCAACGAATCGAAGGCAGCTGATCGCGATGTGATCAATCTGAGTCCAGGCTTGAGATGCAGAAGGGGGACGCCAGGTGGCACATCGGCGATGACTGTGCCGAAAGTTGGTGCTAGCCAGAAACAGGTTGTGGTCTGTGCATAGTTGCAGTAGACGTTCCCCGTTATCTGTCCTGCGACCAACGAGTCCCCATCGGCCACCTAAACAACTCTCTTCTGTGCCTAGACGCCCGACATGAGCATTCAAGTCTCCAGCTAGTACTACAATATCTGTCGAACGCACTTTCTGGAGAAGAACAGTTAGCTGATGGTAGAACTCGTCCTTGATTGCATCCGGGCTGCAATCTGTCGGGGCATAGGCGGAGATGACGAAAAGACATCGTTTCTCACGCCGATTTCTTCTCACTTTGATGGAACTTTCTAATCTAACTGCACATAACCGACTGTTAATGGGGATCCAGTCGACTAGTGCTGCCTCAGCTCTTGCGCTTAGTGCGACACCAACGCCAGCAAGACCAGACGAAGATGCCACAGGGTCCCCGGATAAACGCACATAAAACAAGCTTTTTGAAGTGACAGATGGAGAGCGAACTTGTAGTACTTCACCAGAGTCTTGAATACGGGTCTCGGATAGACAACACACATCAATATTAAGACTTTCCAAAGACATAGCCAGCCCTATCTGTTGTCCGACCTGCATAAGTGTGCGAACGTTGAAGGCAGCCAGTTTGAATGGTGCACGTGGTTTCAGAAAAACTGCTTCAGTACTCGTATTCGGTGGCAACATACAATTTTCAACCAGGCAGTGACTCGAGAACGTTTAGATAAAGCTGAATTTTCACCATAGGCGAGCTGCTGTCTGAGTCGAAACGGATACAAAAAGTAGAAATAGGAGACAGTGAATAAATGACGTAGTAAATAATAATAATAATAACAATAATAATAGTACCAGTCATTTCAATGTTAGTCGGAGAGAAACGAATATTTTCTATAAGCAGATAGTTCATCATAGTTTTAGTGTGTGGGCTGAGATACTGCCCGGGCGCCCAGACCGAAGCAGGTGGTTTTCTTAGGGGGCCACACCCCGAGCCTTTGACCTAAAGGTCTAGTCCACAAGGCAGTGGAGCATCGTGAGGAGATGCAGTACCATGGAAGCCGGTGACCAAAAGTTGGTTCATACGCCATTTGTTCCTTCAGGATACTGGAGCCCATGTGCACCATAGAACTGGGGTCCGGTTATAGCGCCGGACGTTCGCTTTTCGTCCTCTCATTTTCGTAAACAACACCCCCGCCACGAGAAGGCAGTGAGTAGGACTTCCCTGGCAGAGGCTGTATACGCGTGGCCGTGTGAGAGTATTTCGAGAGGGAGGGCGAACCCTCCGCGCTCTCGGCCATACCAGGGCATTTGGGGGCATCGATAAAAAGAAGAAACTAAAATTCAAAGTTAGTTGTCAACTCATCAAAATAGTTCAATTAAACGCTGATTCCATTTATTTCGCCAAAAAAAGCTTTTGTGGCTTCATTTCACATAGGAGTCTCAAACACGTAGGAAAACATTTCAAATGACATTTTAACTGTGAATAGTTTTTCTTGTTGTTGTTGTTGTTACATTACTTATTTTTTTCATAGTTGACTGTCGTTAGTATGGTGTCATCTTTGATGCTTAAATCAGAGTAAGCTACTAACCCCTTTCAAATTCACATAATACATTTATTTATTTACGCCTATTACTCGTGGTGGAAAATAGGCAGCCCACCATCACTTTGCATCCAATTCTGTCCTGATCAATCCTTTCCACTTGTTTCCAGCTGCCATTCGTACTTTTCATGTCTACTTCAGATTCCCGACGCAGTGTGTTCTTTGGTCTTTCTCTTTTTCGTTTCCCTTTAGGATTCCAAGTTGGCACTTGCCTCGTGATGCAGTTGGACGATTTCCACAATGTGTGTTCTATCCACTTCTATGTCTTTTCCTACTTTCCTCTTCAGCTGGAAGCTTGTTTGTTCTATCTCACAGTAGGTTGTTGCTGATGGTATTCGACAAACGGATATTGAGTATCGTGTGTAGACAACTGTTTATAAATACTTACACCATTTTGATGATGATTGTAGTAGTTCTCCACCTATCAGCTCCGTACAGTACGATTGTCTCGACATTCGTATTGACGATTGTGACTTTGATATTGGTTGAGAGACAATTGTTTTGAGTTCCATATGTTCTTCAACTATAGTAATGCTGTTGTTGCTTTGCCAATCCTTGACTTTACGTCTACTTTCATTTACTCATTGGTTAATTGAGAATGAATATTTATAAAATTGTTAAGCATTATCATTGTTAATTTGGGTTCATGTAATTGAAACTCAATAGACTGTATTATTTGTTTAAATCATTGATCTAACAAAAATTTTATTATTAAACCTGTTCATCTGACTTAATGTATATAAAATACGATTTATTTGATAGAAAGAAGAAAAAAAGGATTTTTGTAACTAGAGTTAATAACCATTTCTATTTGCTTACATATCATATAGGTGTATCGGTATACTGCGAAACCTTTAGTGGAATGTATATTTCAACGTGGCATGGCCACATGCTTTGCTTATGGTCAAACAGGATCTGGGAAAACACATACAATGGGTGGTGAATTTCATGCTCGTGGCCAACAAAATTGTTCTAATGGAATTTATGCATTAGCAGGTAAACGTTTGACTATTCACATTGATAATCATTTTAATTATACTTGATGAATATATTTTTCTGAAGAGTTTTATCAGTTTCAATGGTAATTACCTTAACCAATAGTTAGACTGTGTTTATTTCGCTTGGTGGCACATTAATCTTCTATTATTTTTCTAGAAAAAATTGGCAACGATTTCGTAACTGATAATAGGGACTCAGTGGGTTTCTGCAATACTCTGCTAGGCCCATCATAGTAGTCGTGGAAGTAAATTTTCTGAGAGGCATGATAAAGGATTACATATATTTGATGCTTGAGTTTCTTTTCATTCCTCAAAAACAAAACAGATAAGGATGGTCCTTCTACATGGAATTTTTTGGTAATTGTTTTCATGAGAATTTGCTGTTAACATCCATGATTACACAGGTAAAATAAATTTAAAACAGAACCTTCATTTCCATTTACAATTGATCGATCACTGAATGATAACCAATGTCATGCACATTAATTTTTTCTTAATACTGATTGAATTCTATCAATTAAGTTGCAATGTGGCCACTAGTCTAAGTGACATCTCGTACACTACATTGAGATTCAAGGTGGTAAATGGAGGTTGTTTACAGGAAACCCTGACTGACCTAGGTTTCGTGCTAATTCGCATCCTAGGAAACATAATGTCGAGTCACTTAGACTAGTAGCCGCATAGCGACTTGTTCGATGAAATTCAATCTGGTATAAGAAGGACTTGACATTAGTAACTAATCAGTGATCAACCAGTTGTAAATATACCTCAGTCTTACAGGTTGTCAGTCGCTGCTCAAATAATTCAGTGGTTATGTCCATGACTATGAAGGTTGGTGACATGAAACCAAATTTGCCAGGGAACATCAGTATCCTCAATCTTACAGGTACACCTTGATGACTTCATTTCTATAAGGGTAAGAGAAGTTTAATAAAGCTATCGTAGTGTCCACACGCATTTATCACACATCCTCTTTGATATTCATGCAATTTTGGGCTTGCTAAGTTAATTCTACATCAAATCTTCAAGATTTTTTTTGATTACATTATTGGGATTCTTCTAACAGTTATTGCTTTAGTATTGTAACGTAACAGCTAGTCGATCCAATACAGAACCAGTTTAATCAATAATCATTTGAGCTACTGAGTCGATAATGGTTCGCGAATTCCGACTTCATTGTCTCAATCAAACATGTACAGAACCACTGGCTGTCTAAGTGAATTGTACCTTGAATGTATAAAACCGATTCATGCACAATCTGTGCAACCACAAATCTTCGTTATTATTATTCCCTCATAATTATTTACATGAATAACAGTTCTTAATGATTATTTTGTTTTATTTTTGTTTAGCTGCTGACGTCTTCGATTTGAATACAACTACGTATAGGAATGAGAATCTTCGAATTGTTGCAACATTTTTCGAAATATACAGTGGAAAAGTATGTGTCTCTTATTATTATTTTTTTAATGAGTATAAGTTACTCATTCTATGCTTTTTTCATTATTTTCATAATATTCATACTTGTTTATACACCTCATTTATATTTGGTCAGTCATAATCATTGTTTTATTTTCTGTAAATGTATATTGGCATAGGCTGCCAGATCACTCTGGTATAATGATAGGAAATGGACAAGATGGATGGCGAAAGGGTAGAACAAAATAATTTCGTCAGGTATAGTCTGAAAGACTAAGTAAAAAATATGTTTGAACTCCACTGGTCACAGCTTCTCACTAGAACTACGGGGATTGCATTTTAAAGCTAGTCTGACCCACAAGGCAGTGGAGCATCGTAAGGAGATGCAGTCCCATGGTAGCCGGTGACCAACGATTGGTTCATACGCCATTTGTTCCCCCAGGATACTGGAGCTAGCCCATGTGCACCATGGGTTTGGGATCCGGTTAAAGCGCCGGACATTCGCTTTTCGTCCTCTCATTTTCGTAAACAACACCCGTGGTGCGAGAAGGCGGTGAGTAGGACTTCCCTGGCAGAGGCTATATACGCATGGCCATGTGAGAGCATTTCGAGAGGGAGAGCGGACTCTCCCCACTCTCGGCCGTACCAGGGTATTTGGGGGCAAGCTAGTCACTAATATACACATGATTATTATTAGTATAGGGGGATTTATAGAGACTGTAGGATTTTCGCAGTTTTCAAATCATGAGTTGATCTTGGCTAAACCACCATTAAAAATATGGAAGCACTGGACAGCTGTTTTGTCCTGCTTCAAGACTCATCAGTGCATGTCCACAACCCCATCATAGGTAATCGAACCCAAGATTTCCAATTTCTTGTGCGAACTCTTAACCGCTAGACTACGGAATCTGGCAGGAACCAGTAGTTTTAATGTCTAGACTCAAGATTTGTGTGGTGATGAGTAAATTAACCACCGCAACCGATTTCGAGCCATTTTACCTAAAGTCTCGAACGATTGATCAAAGTTATCGTGTGTGAACCTTTACCACGTAGTTTTCATCTATCAACATGATTGAAATTAACAATTAACTTCATGTATTGATATCACATCTTAACTTGGTTACATTTTGCTTTTGACAATCTGCTTTACAATTTATCGTTTCGCATCAAAGTAGGTGATGGTTGTGAATACGTAACACATATCCCAGCCACTTCAATTGATGGTGAGTCGCGGTGTTATCAACCAGCATACCATCTCTTTGTACGGGAGAAATATTTCAATGGTGTTAGCAAATCCTAGTAATTCATTAGTCTCCTATGCATTCAGAGGTTACGTTTCATGAGCCTAAATTAAAGTAGAGTGGACCACGTAGTATACCGACCCTTCAGTGGATATGTGTATGGATCATTCTTGAAGGAGTATTTTACGTTTAAGGAGAAATAAACTCCTTCATGATATTCTTTCAGTTGCCCTACATTACTATGTCGAAACAAATATTAAGCAGTGATGAATGTTCAGAACAATCCTGTCTGAGGTTATTGTTTACATTTTTATTGTACCATTATTAAAAACAAACGATTGTAGTTTTGTATTCTCCTACTTGTAAGCTTTTGTTAGGTACAGAAATTTTTGTTTTACCTCTCGAACTCCATCACTTAGTCCTTTTCCTCTTACGACGTGACTGTACCTACATTGTAATTTCTTAATTATGTTAATATGTGGTTGAGATTATGCCCAATTTTATGGTATGAGTAATTCGAACTGTATACTTAGAGGTTGTTTGGTTGTTAAGTTGTTCTCTATTCTGGCTATCGGGCGAGTAAGAGTGGGAAACTGAATTCTCGACTAATGGTCGTTTAATGTTATTCTCAGCTGTTATCTCATATTTATCATGCCATTGGTATAAGATAAATAGACAGACTAGACGAGTTAATCAGTACTCTGACTAGATCAAGACAACTGTTTTCCTGTCCTACAGAGTTCAATTTTACAGGCCCAAATAAGTTAAACAAGAAAATCGGTTTGTTTTCAACCGACATATCAATAAACAGCTATATTCATGATCTTGTGTCTTTGTAGCTCATTCGATTTGTGTACGAAATTATTGCATAAAAAGTGATGTTACCAATGTTACACTGTATATTTTGATTTTTTTGTTTTGTTTGGATATTATTATTATTATTATTATTATTATTATTATTATTATTATTATTATTATTATTATTAATGTGAATATTCTTGTTAACTTCTTTCTCTATTTCTCTATCTCTACCTTTGACATTTTGATTTATGAATATATATATATATATATATATATATATATATATATATATATATATATATATATATATATATATATATATATATATATGATTAATCACATAATACATCTGTATAGATGATGATTAAACTATATAATGCTACCATGTGACTATTTTCTTGACCTATAGAGGTCAAGAAAAAGAAATCACAAGTAGATTATTCATGTAGGAGTATTAAAAAAAGAAGACTATATAAGTATAATTTAAGTGTATTTCAATGCAGGTTGTAACTGTTTTACATACAATTCTTATCTATAGAATATTGAATTAATGAATTAAATTGCCTTTTGTGTGTGTGTGTGTGTACGTTTATTTGAATGTTAATGTTGGTATTGGTATTACGTATAAACAAATGAACCTATAATCTGATGACCTTAAAATACGTTGACAACTATAAAACTATTTCTCAGTTCAAATGTTTCACCTCATTTATATATATATATATATATATACGAACCACCTAACTCACGAAGAAAAAAACAGATATTGCACTTCTATGTTTTAAGTAAAATCTATGTAAAACATTAATAAACAACAAGTGTTTCTATATACTATGATGAATTGATTTTGTGTTACTTTTATCTTTGTTTTATATTTTGTTGTTTTAATACTATCATTTTATGAATATTTCATACTTCACTAATAGAATTTATCCTGATTAATAAAGAGATTGGATTAGTGATCAGAAACTTTTAGGTCTTTACTACTCAATATATATGTAATAATGCAATATCCATCAATTTACATAAATTTAATTACACATAATCCATTGCCTCCAAATGCCATGGTACGACCGAGAGTGGGAAGACTCAGCTCTTCCTTTCGAAATCCTCTCACATGGCCACGTGCATACAACCACTGTCAGGGAAGTCCAACTCACTGCCTTCTCGCGGCATTACTGTTGTTTACAAAGTTGAGAGGACAAAAAACGAGTGTCCAGCGCTTTAATCGGGTTGGCGGGCACGGAGAGTCTACCTAGGACAGTTGGATAACCCTCATTTCAAACGAATAGTGCACATGGACTCCAATATCCTGAAGGAACAAATGGCGTATGAACCAATCGTTGGTAACCAGCTACCATGGGACTGCATCTCCTTACGATGCTCCACTGTCTTGTGTATCAGACCTTTAGGAAAAAGGTTCCGTATGTGGCTGCCTAATTAGACCACCTGTTATGGTTTAGGCAGCCAGACAGTATCCTAGCCCTCACACAAATCGAATAATTTATGTGGCGCATATTTATTTGGTGCCTCCAATGTCTATGTGTTTAAATAAATAAATAAATAAAAATAAATCTATGAAGGTCACTGGAAAATATTTTTATAGTTAACAGTATTCACTATTTGTATTTCAGTATGAAATTCCTGATTCATAATACCATAAATGTTCCTTATTTATCAATCATATCCTGTATAGGTAAATTTTATCAAGTCATTATTTGATCTGAATTATCCAAGTAAAAATTCATTTGATGATTTATTTAAAGTAAAGTTTCATTCTCATATCAATTGAAACTCGTTCTAGAATTATTATCTAATGGCGAGACTATAATTTATGGACGAACCAATCAGTAAAACAGGCCTCGGATTTTAGCGAAATTCATTCAAGCTTTTGGCTAAATAGGGTTTTTGCATTATAGCTGATGTCAGTTTGTGATGAAAACCCTAAATGTAATAATTTTTAACCCTAACCATCAACTGTAAATCATCATTCTAGTTCCTCAAACTGGTTTATAACCCTCATTTGATCCTAGTTATCAGGTACATACCGTCAAGGTCACTTTGGCGTCACTCAAAGGTCTCCCATAAATTTTAGTCTCACCTATCTGGTTGTGTAATAAGAGGACTTTTAGCTTATCATTGTGTAATTTGTGATCTCAATAAATTGTATTTTGATGTAACCTCATTTTAATGAGCAGTTGTTAAGTTTTCAATTAAATTGAAATTTGGCGATAAAATCATTTTTTCTTTGTATGCAGTTTAATCTTGAATTGCGGTGCTCATAGAGAATTCGTTTTAATTATTAGGCCATGGGATTTTTCTAGTGTAGTGATGTCGTATAACCCGTCAACTATCATGTAATGATGATATTACCAATCACGACATCAACTTATGCGACCTTGGCTCTGTGCCAAGTCAATGCCGCATTACTAACACGAGCAACCTACAGTCAATTCTGAGTCCTTACTGGTTCTTCTTGCCTAGCTCTGTCTGTTTGAGTCCAGGACATAATCTCAGCATCCGCTGTAGGAATCATGGATTTCAGACATACGTAGTGTATACACAAGTAGACCACACAACAGTTATACGAAATCAAGCCAAAAGCGGCTTCAAGTGTAAGAGATTGTAACTAATATATTGGGAATAACTTAATAATAGTAAATCGTATCGCAATATTCAATAGGTCAAAGAAGGCTTGTAATAAGAGAAATATAAATATATATAATCTAGTTACTTAATAGTTATCCAATAAAAATATATGTAACAATAGTCCATAAATACCTAGCAGTTACCGTTCATTTATTCGTTAGGATATAAAAAAAATGTTCATATCAAATAATTGTTTTTTGTTTACTTTCATTCAAACTTCTACGAACAGGTTTTTGATTTGTTAAATAAGAAAGCCAAACTTCGAGTTCTGGAAGATGCTAAAGGTCAAGTACAAATAGTTGGATTACGTGAAGAAGAAGTCAATTCAGTTGATTGTGTTTTAAAACTTCTACAACATGGTGCACATATTCGAACTAGTGGTCAAACGTCAGCTAATCAACATTCTAGTCGTTCCCATGCTGTTTTTCAAGTAAAGCATATTAGGATTTAATAGTTTTTTTGGTGTATATATATGTTACCAAGCAATAGAAACCTTATTATTATAGAACTGTGGAACCTTAAAATATCAGTTGATACCAACTCACATTAACTTTCTGTAAGCAAAAAATAACTTAAACTGGAATTTTCAGTTTTAAGGTATAGTTGTCAACTTTTTAGGATATATTTGTGACCACAGATTTGTTTAATTCTGGGTACGTATTTTTGTAACATCACATAAGACTTTAAGTTTATCTCACAGCCAACTAACCTTAATACAATTCAAAATTATGTATAGTTTATGCCTGTTCACATAATACAAGCTTTTTGCGCTGTCCATCATGTTTTGGTGTGTGGGCTGAGATACTGCCCGGGTGCCCAAACCGAAGCAGGTGGTTTTCTTAGGGGGCCACACCCCGAGCCTTTGACCTAAAGGTCTAACCCACAAGGCAGTGGAGCATCGTGAGGAGATGCAGTCCCATGGAAGCCGGTGACCAAAAGTTGGTTCATACGCCATTTGTTCCTTCAGGATACTGGAGCCCATGTGCACCATAGAATTGGGATCCGGTTATAGCGCCGGACGTTCGCTTTTCGTCCTCTCATTTTCGTAAACAACACCCCCGCCACGTGAAGGCAGTGAGTAGGACTTCCCTGGCAGAGGCTGTATACGCGTGGCCGTGTGAGAGTATTTCGAGAGGGAGGGCGAACCCTCCCCGCTCTCGGCCATACCAGGGCATTTGGGGGCACCAGGGCATTTGGGGGCAAACCAGGAAGCACTGGACGGCCGTTTCGTCCTAGTATGGGACTCCTCAGCAGTGCGCATCCACGATCCCGCTCCTCGCGAGATTCGAACCCAGGACCTATCAGTCTCGCGCCAGGCGCTTAACCAACTAGACCACTGTTTACAAAGATCTGGGAACTAGAGAGTGTACCAACGTCATGGAATGAGTCGATAGTTGTCCCTATCTTTAAAAAGGGTTCACGTTGTTCCTGTAACAACTATCGGGGGATAAGTCTACTTCCGATTGCGTCCAAGCTATTGGCTTCCGTCATACTTCGTAGGTTGTTCAGAACCCGAGAAGGATTGACTCGCGAGGAGCAGGCTGGGTTTCGTTCTGGTCGAGGATGTATTGATCATATCTTCACCCTCCGCCAAGTGTTAGAACACCGCCATACTTATCAAAGGCCAACAATCGTAGTGTTTCTTGATATCAAGGCTGCTTTCGATTCGTTGGACAGAACTGTTCTCTGGGATTGTCTATTGAAGAAGGGTGTGCCTGAGAAGTTTATTAACATCCTAAAAGCCTTATATACAAACACCTCAGGTAGAGTGAGGGCATACAACCACCTTTCTCCACTATTCCATTCAAGCAGTGGAGTTAGGCAGGGTTGCCCAATCTCACCATTCCTCTTCAACTTTGCCATCGATGACATTCTGGAAACAGCTCTGACGGATGTAAGTAATGGTGGTGTGGATCTGTTGCCTGGAGAAAGACTTCTCGACCTTGAGTATGCGGATGATATTGTCTTACTGTGCGAGAATGCCCAAGCCATGCAATCCGCACTTAATCAGTTGGCAATCAGTGTCCGTAGGTATGGTATGTGCTTTGCACCTTCGAAGTGCAAAGTACTTCTACAAGACTGGCAGGATTCTAATCCTGTACTCACTCTGGATGGTGAGCAGATTGAAGTAGTCGAGAAGTTCGTGTATCTAGGTAGCTGCATAAGTGCTGGTGGTGGCGTGAGTGATGAGATCAATGCACGTATAGTGAAAGCCAGAGCGGCTTATGCCAATCTGGGCCATCTTTGGCGCCTTCGTGATGTTAGTCTGGCTGTAAAAGGTCGGATCTACAACGCGACGGTGAGAGCAGTTTTGCTCTATGCTTGTGAAACCTGGCCTCTCCGAGTTGAGGATGTTCGACGACTCTCTGTGTTCGATCATCGTTGCCTCCGAAGGATTGCTGGCATCCAGTGGCAACACCATGTCAGTAATGCAGAGGTTCGGCATCGAGTGTTCGGTCACAGAGACGATAATGAAATTGGTGTCACCATCTTGAAACACCGACTTCGGTGGCTTGGACATGTTCTACGAATGTCGTCCCAGAGAATTCCTCGTCGTGCATTATTTGCCGACTCTGGGACTGGTTGGAAAAAGCGGAGAGGTGGTCAGTATATGACATGGTGTCGTGGTATGAAAGAAAGCTGCAAAGGGCTAGCTTATGTTGGTCCTTCACGACTCCCTGGTTGGGGTCCGAGAGATGGTGTAACGCAGTGGCTAGAGACGTTATCAGATATGGCTCAGAATAGAAGCCAGTGGCGATCCTGCTGTAACCTTCTTTTACTTTCTTCATAAAAAGGTGGTCGTATTCTTCCTTAACTGAAAGATCTGTTCTGATTGTACCTTTCCGTTTCCCCCACCATTGTTCTCTCTCTCTCTCTTCTTTTTTTTTTATAATTCCCCACGTTCATTACTTTTTTTTTTTTTTCTTCTCTTTTCTCCTTCTCTTCAAATTATCATTGTTTTGTGTGGCGCATATATATTTGGTGCCCCCCTGTACCAATATTTATGTGTTCAAATAAATAAATAATAAATAATTTTGCGCTGTCCATTTTGATTGTGACTGAACAATGAAGTGGTCATCATTTGTATTAGCCTAATAATGATAATCGAAACAATAAACTGTAGGTTGACTGGTCTTAATGGAGATTTGTAGTTTGCTAGTATTTGATCATAGACGTGGCACCAGTCCATAGAGGTACTGACTGTTGGACTGAGCCGTTTAAGTTGGTACAGACTATCTGGTTTAAATCTATAAAACTACCATGATGAGTGGTATCATATAGATGAGATTCTTTTTCAGTGGCGTAGAAACATTCACTCTTTGCCTTTTACATCGTGAGTCTCAAGATTTGTTTATACTTTATTCTTCAATACCTAATCGTTTTTACCACTGATGTTGTCATTACTGTTACTTCACCATGATTTCTCTTGAAAAGTCCATCTCATTGTAATAATGTTGTGTGACAACTTAAACCAATGCCCATATATGTTAGGTTCCACCTTACGTTTGATTGACTGTCTGACTCAATGAACTTAAGAATCTTCCAATAATGTACAAGTTTGAGAAAATATATTCTGTATCAATCTTGATTTGTTCAATCAAATGTGTACACATTTAAAATAGCACCTTAATATATTGGGCTCGATTTACTGTAGTTACTTGAATAGACCGAAGTCGGAAAATTATGACAAACTAACTGATTTCTTTGTAACTATTATCTTTTTCTAATTGTTATGTGATTGTCTAAATAAAAAATTTTATTACCTACTCTAAATATAGTTGATTTTAAAAAAACAATCTACGGGAAAAATTCATGGTAAATTTTCACTAATTGATTTGGCCGGTAATGAACGTGGTGTGGATACAAGTAGTTCTGATCGACACACTCGAATGGAAGGCGCTGAAATTAACAAAAGTCTTTTAGCTTTAAAAGTAAATGAAGTATACATTTTGTGTTTGATGTATATAAGATATCAATATTATCTTAAGAATATTCATAGGGTAAGTATTATCTACCACTTGTCTGTAATTCACTAAGAAATTCGGATTTCAAAGTTTATGGCAATTGACGTAGTTCTTTGTTTCAATAATTAACTGATTTGATTTAATGTAATGCAAGTGAACATATTTGGATGTATAAACAATTTTTTGGTGAAGTATTAATTGACATACATGTTTCCCATGTTATTTACATGAGCATAATATTTCCTTAACGATTTCAGTTGTTTTCATAAATTTAAAATCACAAACTGATCTTAGATCACAATTAAAAACGTGACAGCTGTGGCTGACCTTTTCGTCGTGTTATGGGACTCTTAAGCATCGGGGATCGACGACCCCGCATCAGAGAATATAATCCAGGATCTTCAGTCGCGTGTGAACACGACGTGTAGACCACTGTGCCGGATATGATTAATTTCTACTTACATGAATATCGTCGTGTCTATATTTGAAACTATTTTAAATAGAAACAATGAACTGAGTAGGAAACATCACATTATATTATTAGTTACTAAAGTATGACATTTATCTGGTTAACTCCATTTTTTAGCAAGGTTCTTTCTTATGAGATGGGATGACTAATCTCATGCACAACCCTTCTCTGTTATCCGGACTTGAGACTGGGAATAATCTTAAAAGGACTTCAGGCGGTGTTATCCTTTGATATATATATTACTTAAAATATGTCTTGCTACACTTATTGTGTGAAAGGTTTTCTCGCATAATCCCTACCAAACTACTTATTTTTATGTAACGTGTCATTATTTAACTTCATTATTCCATGTTCTTGACTAATCACCGTTGCATGACCACATGAATAAATTTTCACATGATTTCTTTCTTTCAGTATTTATGTTATGTATTATGTTTTACGTATTCCAATTGTTGGTGGTAGTATTAGAAGAGATTGTAAGCTTGATGTTAGTACTTCAAATTTAACTAAAATGATCAATAGTAAGTTCATATTACTATCAAACTCAAACAACAAACCTCTAAATGATCAGCTAAATAATGGGCCTGTATAACATGAATGAATGAATCAACAGGAATGATTTGTCAGGTTTTACAGATCGTTTTAATGTGTATGTTCAGTGAAAATTCCTATGAAACATTTTGTTTCAATGAAAAGTGTTTTTACTGAAAATGTTTCTTCTTTCTTTTTCCGTGTGTAGGAATGCATTCGTGCTCTTGGCCGACGTGGTGCACATCTACCTTTTCGTGCAAGTAAATTAACTCAAGTACTACGTGATTCATTTATTGGAGACCGTTCTCGAACGTGTATGATTGCTATGATATCACCTGGTATGTCCAGCTGTGAACATACATTAAATACACTACGTTACGCTGATCGGTAAGATTCTTCTCATGTTCTGTGTACGTATGTTTATATGATTAACTGTCTTCGAAGAATTGTCACCACGTTGTTTTAATATCATGGGTTATTTTGCTAAGAATATGTAGTATTTTATCCTTCTAATTGTAATTTCAATAATAATGCAATTATAGTTTGTCTCATAAAATACATAAACAAAACTATTAAGGATTCTTACTTATAAACTTTCTGAAAGACCAATAGTAAAGTTTCTTGAACACTTGATGAATTGGTTCCAACTTAATTTGTGTGATTCTAAAGAATAACTGTAAAATAACGACAATCCACCTTTCATATCCAGAGATGGGACAAATATCTTGCCACAAGCAGAGTATTTTGAAATGGATATTAAGATTAATGTTCCAAAAATTAGTTTGGTTAACTTGACTTGACCTATTCATTGGATAGATTGCGTATCAACTTGTACTAGTGATGTTAATAGTGGATTGGCAAAATATTTCAAGGGACATATACTGATTCTCTAGAGTTTGTTACTGCCACTTGATTGTGCAACCAGAATTTATAACGGAAGTCTTGTTGGGAACATATTAATTTTTTATTGGTTGTTTTGATTTCTGTAAAGCATAGTGGACACATCAGTAATTACTGTATAATATATTGTACGAGTCTGGTTATTAATATGCAATCTTCCTATGGATAAACGCAATCACTATCTACTTTAACGAGCGATGTTATCTAGTGTATGTGTAGGTTGGAAAAAAGTAAAGGTCTGCCAAACCAAGCGGTGACACTGGTCCAAGAAGTGATTGACCATTTGACTGAGCCATGTAAGCAGGTGTTGATTAGCCTAGTCAGGGTCCGAGTGATTTTCCTAACCAATCACTAGTGACTTTCAGTGAAATGTATGAGAATCGTTTGTAGTACCATAAGTGCATTCATTCCTAGTTTTCCTACAGAATCTGAGTTCCGAAATCTCACTATACACTTCTTTTTATTTTTCTATCAATATTTTCTACTGATACTGTTACTATGTCTACTACTCTGGTATCTTATCTCACTGTGCTAATGCTGTATTGTAACTTGGATCAATGCATATATGAGTCAAGTTCTACTGTTTAACTCGAAGTCCGTTACTTGAGGACTTTGTAATAATCAATAAGATTTGCATATATTTTTTTTTATTATTTTCAATGTTCAATTGACGTGTTGTATGTATTATTCAGAGCTACTTTTTATTCATCTTATTTTGGTTACAATATTCGTTGCTTATTTATTGTTTTTGTGATATGTTTTGCAATGCAATACTGTCAATATTATGATGGACATGATTTTCTTAAGTGAACTGTTGATTTCATATTATCGAATATATATATATATATATATATCCATTTAGTTATTTTTAAAAACTTCCTTGCAATATGTTATTTTTAGAGTGAAAGAACTTGGACCAGGAACTTTGTCAGCAAGTACGTTTTTTAGTTTTGTTTAAAAGTTCTTCTCATTACAAGTCATTTAACATTATTGAATTATAGCTCACTTGCCAAATACCAGTTTTGTTTGTTTAGTTTTGAAACAGACACTATGTCTGAAGCTTAAGCAACACCAATTATCCGCTACCTTGAACTGGACTAGGCGCATCGCAATCGGTGATATTCAAACCTAACGCGTATTAGATTGAGATCATGAACCGATTGATGACGGCCGTTTCGTCCTATTGTGGGACTCCTCAGCAGTGCGCATCCACGATCCCGCTCGCGGGATTCGAACCCAGGGCCTTCAGTCTCGCAATAGGACGAAACGGTCGTCCAGTGCTTCCAGGTTTTCAATGGTGGTCTAACATCAATCGGTTCATGATCTCAATCAAAAACTTGACATTCTCCACAACACCTAAATTGATAACGCGTATTGGTCGAAAGTTGACTTGATTTAACCAGTAAGCAAGTGATCACTTTTGGACCATTTAACTTACTAACTGACATGTAGATAGTTCTCTATACTTCTATTCTTTGTAAGTAATCACTCATGCTTTCAGTGTATCATGTATCATCCTGTAAGTGTTCAGGCTTGAAATCTTATTACAATGATTATAATACCTAGTTGGTCGAGCTCAACTATTTATTTACAAAATTTCGATGCTTAAAAAGCTTTCTTGAGTCGAGTTATATGTTCTTATGCGTGTACATACCTGGAAGTTTACAGTTCACTAGGATTTATTACATTTCTTATTCGGTATATTACATCTTTTTTTATTTGACTTAAATATCCTTATAGGTAACAGTAATACCGATCTACCGGCAACTGGTAATACTAATCAACCACAGTTATCATCTCGTGCTGTTGCTGGAGGCACGGTGACTCCTCAAATCAACTTTCGGAATCCTCCAAGTACTAATATAGGTGAGTTTGTCAACTTAATAATATGTTATCTTCTCTCCACCAAAAAAATTTTAGGAACAAGCGGGAATATCTTGTCAAAAAATTATTATCTTTCATCCAATAATAATGATTTTAGTAATAACAACTGGCAGAATGATACATTAACAAATAATCATGTCAATTTAATTGCTGGCGGTGATGGTGATTTAGCTATGCTTCGATCAGCCAATGTAAGTTTTTGTTTGAAATATATTTGTTTGTTAATTTTAAATTGTATATATTCCGTAATTTTCTCACTTAACATTGTTGAAAAATAAACACACCTCTTTAGCAAAACCTATTCTTTTGCTTGGTATTGTTCAAAAATCCTTTTCCAATTACTGCTTTTCATAATCTTCTAGAATCATCAGTGAAGAGGTCCTACCATGTTTTTTCAAATAATTCTGATTCACTTATTCGTTTGGGATGACGTTTATGCTTGCCTCGAATGCCATGGTACCACCGAGAGTGGGAAGACTCAACTCTTCCTTTCGAAATCCTCTCACATGGCCACGTGCATACAACCACTGTCAGGGAAGTCCAACTCACTGCCTTCTCACGGCATTACTGTTGTTTACGAAATTGAGAGAATGGAAAGCGAATCTTGACGCTTTAACCGGGTTGGCGGACACGGAGAGTCCACCTAGGACAGTTGGATAACCCTCATTTCAAACGAATTGTGCATATGGGCTCCACTATCCTGAAGGAACAAATGGTGTGTGAACCAGTCGTTGGTCACCAGCTACCATGGGACTGCATCTGACGTTGCTCTACTACCTTGTGTATCAGACCTTTAAGTGGAAGGTTCCGTGTGTGACCCCCTAATTTAACCACCTGTTATGGTTTGGGCACCCAGGTAGTATCCCAGCCCTTACACAAGTCGAATGGTATATGTGGTGCATCTTTATTAGGTTCCCTCTTGTATCAATGTTTGTGTTTTTAAATAAATAAACTTTCATGCTTCATATAAATTATTCAATAAAAAAGAATATCATTTGAATAGGACTGTTGGTAAATTCTTTACACACATACACACACCTTTTAAATATTAGAATTGAATGGATATTAAACTGAATAAGTTAAGCATTGCATATATTTTATGCTGAGAATTGTTTACTACAATCAAGCATGTGACATTAAATGTGAGGCAACTGTCATTACTACTATAATTAGCTTCATGAAATTATCTTTTCCTTATAATACGAAGATAAAGTAATCGATTGATTCCATATTATATGCTACTCATTGTTTACCAACTTTAATATAGTGTAATAGAAATAGTGTATATTTCATGATACTGATTATTTACTAGTAATCTTAGTAAATTACAAATCTACCTTTGTATGTGTTGTTTGTACTTCGTTTTGCTCTTTTCAATAGGAAGGTGAAGTACCTGAGGAAGTTCTTCATTTTCATGAAGTCATCGATCAGATTGAACGTATGGAAGAAGAAATTTGTGATGATCACAAGGCTGTTTGTCATGTAAGCAATCTCGATTTACCTTTTTTTTTTACAAATTTTAACTTTTGTGTAAAAAATGGTTTTGTAGTAATATATAAATATAAATGGTTTTAAGGAATCGACATGAAGCTTTGTGTAATCTGGTTTCCTGCCACTTTGCAATGGTCAATAAGGCATATCAGTAGTCAAGAAGGAGTGGAGTGAGTTGGAATTCTACAAGAAGCATAATTTCCAACTGTTTAACATACATGCGGTATACGCTGTGTCGAATCACCTGGTACTCAATCAGCGTAGGTGAATGAAGTAGCTGACAATTGAAGAGAAATATCGTGCGACGATGGATTTGGATTAAGTCTGAGGTATTTTACTTCATATATTGAGCTTTATCTCCCATGAAATTGAATTCTTATCATCTCACACAGTCAATGGTTTATTCCAAATTATTTTACATTTCAAACTTCTTCCTGAGATGGTGGAGAATATTTGTAGCTCAGATGGATGTTTTGGTCGTTCAGCTTAGAGAACAAAACTTCATCAAAAATCTCTCTTCCTGTTCATGGTTGTACTCCAATGGTGTCAAATGGTGGTTAGGCACCTGAACTTTCTGAATCGTCCTTAAATTTCGTCTGCTACCAAACCCACCAAGACTGATGAAAATTTCAAGATAAAAGTTTAGCGCACTCAACCGATTCACTCGTTATTTGTTTAAGCTTTGATATATGCCAGTCTCATAGAAACATTTTACATTTAAAGGGAGAGAAACGGGTCTCAAATATTCTTGGATTGTTGATCAAGATAATGAACAGACTAACTGCATTTCCTCGGAATTTTCGGTACAAAGAACTATGTCGTCTCGATATCCCAAAACGATAAGTAAATCTCCTGAAAAGATCAGTACACTTTTCAATGACAAACCTTACCATAGTCTAAAGGTGCCTTGAACTTGTCTACATCTAGATTAAATATAGTACATATGTAATTTTTCGTAATTTACATTGACAATCTTAAAATAGTGGTCAGTTGTATTGTTTTAGAAAGTTAGGGGTTTCATAATGTAATCTTTTTGTATACTCACAAAGTGGCACTTCAGACCAAGTTATTCATGTATCTACGAGCTATAACCTGCAACACAACAAATCGCATTGGATAGTACCCCATGAATTAAAAAGTTTAAATTTGAAATTTTACATTGTCTTGCAAAATACACTTGGAGTAATCATGTTTTCTCAATTGCAGTTTTCAATTCCCTATATATTGCTGTGATTGTTATTTAGAAAGTCTAGTGCACATTGAAATTACAAAATGTACCAATGTTATAATATATTTATGATATCTCAATGGGTAGTCAATCAAAAGCAAATTATGACTGGTATAATGAAACGAATATTGTAGAAATCGGAACTGGTTTTTCGAATTATTATGTACATATATTCCATTTATCACAAGCTTTCAGTTGATTTATTAACTACTGTTGTACGATTTAATATTCTTGATTTGTTGCCAGCCTATTATTTACAATCACCCCTATTCATAGCCACTTTTAGATTGTTATTTTTCATTATATGGTGTAATGTGACCTGGTATGTCTGTATATAAATCACGCCTGCTTCAAATATAAGTACAGCAGAGGCTGGATGGTACTTCTTGACTCAAGGTTGGTTGTAGAGAGGTACCAGCTAATTGCTAATCTATGGGAAACCTAGTTGCCAGCTCGTCAATTGTGCTGGTTGGGCGTGCGATTCAGGGACACTTGGGCTATCAAGGAAATAGGATGTGCGGAACGGACCTAATTAGAATCAGGATTCTGATTGGCGACTGGATATGTTTGATTTGGGTCTCAGCTGCCATAAGACATGACGATAATTGGTTCACTTGCTTGAATTATTTGAAATTATCAATTCACACCTTAATAACTATAGTTTCTCTGGTTTTTTTTCTGTGGTGTCATGGATTTCGACATCATATTAGACATTAACACCATCGGATGCCGACTCAGTGGTCTAATGGTTAAGCGCTCGCGCGCGAGATCGATAAGTCCTGGGTTGAAATCTCTCGGGGGGCGGGATCGTTGATGTGCACTACTGAGGAGTCCCATACTAGGACGAACTGGCCTTCCAGGTTTTCCATGGTGGTCTAGCTTCAATTGACTCATGATTTCAACTAGTGAAACTTGTTTAATTAATACATATTTATGTACTCTGTTCTGAGCCATATTTTCTATGTGTAATTGGTGTGTTAAGGATACTAAGCTGCCGAATTCAATCTTCGAATGATTGTTGAAAAGCCGAATGCTTAAACTCCTGATGTGTGGCAGTGGTTGAGCGTGGAGAAATAGCCACAGCTTAATGATTATTAAATATGTGATTTCCCTTCCTTTTATTGATCATCTCTACACTGGACTCACTAAGTGTGATGGTTTGTAATTGTGTTGAATATATTATTATCTAATATTAATCTTCTCTATTCTGGGTTGTAAATCCTGGATCTGATTGTTGGGGTATTCGGAAAATACCACAGAAATTATCTAACGCTATTCCTGAATGAAAAATGGTGTCATTTCCCCATTGGTCAATATTCTTCCAACATGTCATTTCCTGGAGGTCAAATCTTGTACAAATGTTACTTTCTATTTTATGGTACGATGTAGTCTGTTTGTTTGGTATATAAACAGAGTATGTTTTAAATATAATGATTCGTATGACAGAGGCTGAGACTTGCGTTCTGGACTCAACTGGCTGGGCTAGACAGGGAAGCAGGGCCAATCAGAACTCTAGGCTGTTCTTATGTGTTTTACGCGTCCTTAATCCGATCAATAATTCGCCAATTCTCTCTCTCTCCTCAAATCGCACGTCTCTCAAGTTATAACACCGATATAACGTGATTAGTCTTATTATCTTACTTATTAGTTTAATGTTCAATAGTGAACTGTGTTTTATACATTTAAATACCCGTCTAAACTTTTATATCTGATTGTTTCATTATTTTATTTTCATAGTCCATGAGCGATTGGACTAAAGAACATTATTCTTTATACAAAATATCGAATCAAGTGGAGTTCGATGTTGAAGGTTAGTTTTTTGTGTAAAGTTTAAAATTTGTGCATTCCAATTAAATTGATTTTTAGTACCGAAGATTTGTGGAGATTGTTATTTTCTATAACATACTTCATAGAACTTAGACACTTGTTGGAAATCAAAAAGCCTTATGTGGCTTTTTTTGTTCATCAGCGATATACATCCGATGACACAGGCGGGGACAACCAGTTGTATTTTTATACAAAATGTGGAAGTCATACGTTCAATACTTCTTTTGCTAATTATCTCAAACTTCATCGTTCCTTCGATTCGATCATCCCGATTCTCTGCTGCTAGGCTTTCCACTTCCGATTTGTGTTACATATTACTTATGTCTATCGACATAAGTAGCATACACTATAACTGTACCAACGATTGAACTCAAACCACTCGCGTTGGGCACCTCACTTCACCATTGAGTCGTCACCCAGTGGTCTACTTTCCTAACTTCTATTTATCTATGTTACTGCACTACCACATTGAGATTTCTTGGGCTATAACGAAACGACTATTTATTGCTTCTTGGTTTTCTGTGGTCGTCGTTTATTACTCGATTTTCATGTTCGCATTACTCTTTGTCAACTGTGAATCGGTTCCATAAATACGTTAGCTGTCATGATCTGAACTTTATTTCACAAGATTTAGAAGACATCAGTGTTCAGAAAGTACTCGAGTTTGTGAAAATATACTTATTCGATCTTCGTTTCCGCTAACCACCGTCTTAATACTTTATTGATGCCATTATCAAGTTTTTCCTAATTTCCTCATGTCCAAGATATATTTATTTTTTTGTTTTTCCATTCATTGCTCCCCTTGATGATATGAATTTGTTATCACTTGTAAAACCGTCAATTAGTTATATGTTTATATTTCACCAATGTCTGTTTACTTACTAGTGGATAGATCATATAAACTAACCATTTTCTTACTAATTCATGTTCTATTCACTGTACCGTTATGAATAGACGATGATCATTCATTTCTATGCTTTACTATTGTCAGTCAGCTACAAAGTAGGTCCAGGCATATATGTGCATCGGTCCAAGTTGATCATTTTGTTATTAATTGTTATGTTATACATGATCATTTTATGTTGTAAAATTAATTGTTACTCTCATTCTCTTTATTGTTTATTCTTTTCCTGCAACAGAATATAGTGCTCGTTTAGAATATCTACTTAGTAAACAAATTAAAATTTTATCCTCTTTAAGAGGTAAGTTAGTAATATTGATAATTTTCTTTTAAATAATCAGTTTATTATTATCATTGTTTCTATTAGTGATATTATAGCACTGTTACCTATTCTCCTGAACATTGATTACCACGACGCGCAATGCTGACTAGTGTAGGGAATGGTTGGAAAAAAGTTAGGGGTGGCCAAACCAAAATGTGACATCAGTCAATGAAGTCACTAACTTCTGGTCTGAGCCATGTTGGTAGATGCAGACTACTTGGTTGGGGTCCACGTGACTATCGTAACAAATGGTTGGAGACTTTGGGTGACATCGCTGTGAATCAATCACAATGTTACACACTTTGTGCTCCTCTAAATTATGAGGTTAAAATCGCTTGATATCTTTCTTCCTCTACTATATCCTAATATGCAACCTTTCTTTTATATATTACCACTATTAAATTAACTACTTGTATGAATTTGGTGTTGATCTTGTTGTGCTAATGAGATATGGCAACTTGGACCGATGTACATATGTATGTGCCTGGTCCTACGTTGTAGCTGACTAACTGATAGCACTGTCATTGTTGCATAAACATAAATATTATCTTTGAAAATAAGTGGAAGTGAACTATGCTCTTAAGTTTGAAGTTGGTGTTAATGAATGCATCTGATATAACGGTTGAATGAAGATAAATTCTGTTTACTTCAATAGTAGAACTTGTGAACTTAAGATTGTGTTATAACTTGTGAGTTTGTGCCTCTATCAATGTATAACGTAATGATACCGCCAATTAGAGAACAGTGATTTACCGACCGGACCAATGACGCATAAAACATGTACGAGCAGTCTAGAGTCCTCATCGGTTCTGCTTCCAGCCTAGCCCTGCTTGTTAAATCCAGAACACCAATCTCAGCCTCTGTGATATGAATCATTTATTTCAAACATACTCGATTTATATACCAACCAAACAGACCACATCATACCATAAAACAGGAAACAACATTTGTTCAAGATTTAGCCAAAAGTGTCTGTGAATGTGGGAGATATTAATTGATAGACTGGGTATAACTCAAGAATGGTAAATCGTATGATAATAGTTCATAAGTCAAAATAAAGCTTACGATAAGAGAAACACAATTATGAATAGTTTAGTTATTCAACAATTATATGATAAACATATATGTATAGTATTAGTCCATAAATGGATTTCAAAAGTTACCATTCATTATTCTTATCGGGATATAACAGATTCTACTACCTCTGGACTGGATACTGCGATTGATAGGTTGTGAACAGATTGGTCTCTTGTTCTACCGAATGCGCGACTTAAGACCAAATATAGAGAATCAGAGTATAAATGAGACAATACTTTACTCGGTACAATTACCAACAGTTTACACTCAGTGTGTTAGCTCAGAGTCTAATTCAATATGAGGAAAGAAGATCATAAATTAAATAGTCAAATAGATGTATCTATCTGTTCACGTTTAATCGTTAGTCACATCTTACTTTCATTAGTCATTCTTCAGTATCACAACTATACAATCCAGTTTACAAAATATAATAACATTTACTCATCGGAAATCAGTTTGTCGTCTAAGTTACTACTTAAATAACTTATTGTTTTTTAATAAAGGCTGATTGAATACAGTTAATGATACCAACAAATGGAAGAAGTCCAAAATCTGTTATGTTGTTTGTCGGAAAACCATATTAAACATCTTGTCAACTTTGTTCAAATTTATTAATTCCACCACTGACTAGTTCCACAAGTGGAGCAAAGCTTCTCAATCGTTATGACATACAATTTTTTTCACTCAGTGAATTAATATAGGTTCTATTCTAACAATTGTACATATTTACAATTTACGAAATCAGTCAGTAATACAAGTAGGCCTCTATACAAATAAAGTATGACTCTAATAGGAATGTGATAACTAATATTCAATAACTATAACCAAAGACGGATAGTGGCTAGCAGTGGACTCATCAGCTGGATGTACCTGTATTTCAGAGTTGATATTCACTCCAAGGCTTTGAACCCAGTACTGTTCGCTTCAGACGTCAGATACTTGTGAATTAAGGCAATATGCACATATGCTAATAAGAGACTGAATAATTGCAGTCCTAATCATCAATGGGAAGATTCAAATAAAACAATATCAAATGAATTTAAACTTCACCCGATTGCACAAGCAAGTGGCTATCAGGACTCCAGTAGCTAAGTGGATAACGTGGTGGCGTTTGAAGCGGACGTTACTGGGTTCGAGTCTCGGAGTGAACATCAACTCTGAGATACAGGTACATTTAACTGACGAGTCTTAAATAGGACGTAACGTTCATCGTGGATTCCACTTCTAGTCACTATCCATCTTTGCTTAGAATGCTGATAACTTAAGGCTATATCAAAATGATACACACAGTATACGTATATGCCAATAATAAGAGACTGTTCAATTGCAGTCATAAACATCAATAGGAAGATTCAATTAAAACAATACCAAATGATTATAAGCAAAGGTGGATAGTGGCTAGCAGTGGAATCCAGGACGCGCGTTTCGTCCTATTTGGGACTCGTCAGCTGGATGTACCTGCATCTCAGAGTTGATGTTCACTCTGGGACTCCAACCCAGTACCGTCCGCTTCAAACGCCATCGCGTTATCCACTTAGCTACTGAGTCCTGATAGCCACTTGCTTGTGCAATGGGGTGAAGTTTAATTCACTTGATATTGTTTTTGTTTTTTATTTGTTTGAATCTTCCGATTGATGTTTAGGACTGAAATTGTTCAGTCTCTTATTGGCATATATGCATACTGTGCGTATGCCTCGATATTGTCTTAATAATAAGAGTCTGAACAATTTCAGTCCTAAACATCAATGGGAAGATTCAAACAAATAAAAAACAATACAAGTGAATTAATACCAAATGAATTTATTATTCAATAATGTATCTTTATCATACAACTGGTTATATGTGAGATGAAAGTATCAAACATGTTTGATGACATTGTTTTACAAGAGAGAGAAGAACAAACAAACAATAAAGTACCTGAAAATTTTTAATCATTTTCTAATTTACATTAAAGCTTTCATTTGATAAAAGAGTATTTCGTCTCTATTTCTCATTATTATCCTTTGTCGATTATCTCATCAGAAAATTTTTTTTAAAAAAAAACTTTTCTATTTTCACAGATAAAGTGACATTATGGCGCCGTGATCTAAGACAAGAAGAAGAATTAAGCACTAATCTACAACGAAATCATAAATTATAGTTTCTAACTCACATTTTACTGATAACAAATCAATACAAGTCAATAATATAAATAATATGGATTGTATGTTTGGTGAATAAAATCATGTTAATAATGTTTCACATTATATGTATGTATCCATCTGTCCGTTTACAAATTCCCGACCTGATGAAAGTGATCCTAGTCAGCAACATTTTATTGTTGGTTAGAGTTTGGATTCGATTTTTTCTCTGTCAATTAAAGATTTACTGTGATACGATTAAAAAAAAATAGGATTATAAACTGTGTACTTTTTACAGTGTGTATGTGGTTATAAACATATCAACAAGCATTGAGAAGATATTTCGTCTTAGACACACTCTTATTGTGTTTTTATGCTGTTGTACCATGTTGTTGAACACACGGTTACTGGTATTTGTATGTCTGTAAAACATGGAACGAGTGTGCAGATATGGTTTGAATATGTATCATCAAGCCTTGTTCTCTGTATTTTGTTTCTGTCCTCACTTATTCTATTCTCCTTATTTTTTTTTACTTACACCTATACCAAATAAAAATAGCTCGTCATGCTTTCTCTCTTTACATATTATCATTTTTAAAAGTATAAACGTTACACAATTCAAATTGCATATACCATCATCATTTTGTGATTCCGTTGCCAAGTCTAACATTACATTTCAAACATCTGAATGCTCTTCTCTGATATACTAACTACATTTTCCCTTCCCCCCCATTTCAATGTAACAATAATCTATTTATGCACTGAACTATTGTTGATTCATTTCTCACACAAAATGAAATGTATGTATCTATTAAATTGCAATGTATTGATTTCTGTTTTCAGTTGCTTTTGTATTCATTGACTATTTTGCATGTTAAGAGACAATGAAGTAACCTCACAGTGTTGATGGTACCACCACAAGTCCTAAGGACGCCAGGTGTGTTGGTTTTTATGAACAATTTTCTCTTCATTTGTTCATTCATTATTATAACAAATGCATTCTTAGGATCGAAAATAACACTTAATGGAAGTTTATATGTCTTTCATTATGTTTGTGTGTTTCCATCGTTACTTACCAAATGTAAACGTCATCAGTTTAGGTTTGAGTACAATAGGATTCGTTTTTCCTCTAAATATGTTAGTCAAATTGTCTAGTGTGTAGCATACGGAATTGAATCCAAGCAGGTGTAATCCTGTTTTAGGTAGTAATTTTGTTTCTCCATTAAATGGCGGTCTGCAACATATCCATTTACCTTCATAAATGTTTACTTCCTGTTCGGTAACGTGTTTAGACTATGTGATGGAATTTTATTAAGTTAGTTATAAGCCACATTCCGCATTTGCACAATGTGTTGGGATTACTTTAGGACAAATTCCATTATAGACGTACCGGTAGCAGTAGAACAACCTAGGTATATGAAAATGATTGGTTTAGAAATGTTCCAATCACAAATAACGACCCACAAACTTATCAATCGACTTCCCCTGATACCCTGTATCTGACATTGTCATCGTTCATTTGGTAATAGGACGAGCTAGATTGCTTTGAAGGACCAATGTTATCAAATGTGTGATTTAATAATTTTAGCAAGGCTAAAATATTTCGTCATTTTAACTTTAAGCTAGTTAGGTAGACGCGCTTCTTGATGACGATTCAATTATTTGCCATTTGAATCCACTAAATATATCCTCTCATAGTTATAGTTCGATAACCTCAAACTATCCTGGTACGGCAAAGGATGAGGGGAGTTTGCTCTTTCTCATAGCCGTGTGTGTACAGCCACTGTTAGTAAGGTCCTACTCAACGACCTCTCGTGGTTGAGTTTTTCATGAAATTGTGAGGACGAAAGGCAATCGGTTGATATGACCGATCCTAAACCAATGGTGTACATGAACCCCATGTTTTGAGGAGACAAATGGCGTGTGAGCCCGTTTTCATTCAACCGCCAGTGTCCTAGCACACATGAACAAAATGGAAAGTACTTCAGGATATCTTTTCACTCTTTAGTTCTCATAATCATGACTGGACGCTAGTCCTCGTTATTATTTTATATCGCGTCGCTTGTCTATTCCTCTACCCCATTTCCTATATCTTTTTGTTGTTCACGTTCTACGGCAGCTCGTCGGTGTTGTGGACTCTTTCCTATCTAAACGATTCCAAGTAACTGAATGGTCGAAAGTTGAATGCTACTGCCGAAAACGATTACTTAACTAGCCTTTGTGAGACCACGTGTCATTCGAACTGACCTCACCAAACGTCCGTACACTAACGCAAATCAAACAACAGATAGGGTGGGCTCTATTTTTTATAAAGTCCTAACATCGGTTCCCAGTTGTCGCTTCGAAGGGCTCGTTTCACTTGCGCTTGCCCAGGTACTTTCTGGCATCGTCTCATTCTACTGGCGTTACTGTTGTGCTAAGCACTATATTTGGAGTAAACTAGTCGACTGGATCCCCATTCGTAGTGTGTTGTTTGATTATCAAACTCATCAGTGAGATGAAATAAGTGTGAGACATTATCTCTATTCTTCATCGCCCCGCGCCCCGATCGATCTCATTCCGGGTGTGGTCAAAACTTGTTCTTATCACCCATCAAATGTTATTTAATAAAACTGTACAAACTTTGCACAATCAATGAGAAGCCTGGTAGTCTGACATTGCTAATTAGTGGGCAACAGCAGCTGCATCTGGCAGCTACTGGGAACTCCTTCAACTCATTTGAGTAGTTGGCGGCAAGAAAACTGGTATGAGTGAAACATTCTGTGAATCTTACATGGTGTCTATCAGAAACATCAACTAATATTGTAACAGTTCAGCTATTCTCGCCCTCGGGAACATCAATCAAACTGTCTTGTCCTCCATGGCCTGTGAAGACTGAACCACCAAACGAGACGGAAACCCGCAAGGAAAAAACATTTGAAGCGTCCTAAACCACCGTACACAAAAGATAAAACCTGGATCTTTTAAGAGAAGGTAGCAATCAAAACGTTATCTGTTGATGACGTTAGATCCTTAGAACTCAGTTGGAAACGGATTTAATTTTTTAATTTCATTTAGAAAATTTGCATTTCTTTAATTTCGTTCCAAAAGCGCTCTTGTCACCTTCATGTCGTATTTCCCACTGGGAACTATCTTAACTGCTATTGGTCCGTTGCGTGTTCTAGTATACTATTCGGTAACTCTCCCCAAGGACGGTTTTGTACTGTGTATATACCTTTTAAATTAAGTTTGTTGTTATCTCTCTTTTCTGCCTGTTTGCAGAATATGCTTCCCCATTCCAAGCTTGGACTTCTTCCTCTAGTTAGCGGGGCTGAGACGCATCAGAATGTCTAGCTTATTGGTCTTTGGTCATCGAGTCTTTGTTCTCGTTCGCAGATTAAGTGAACTCGTGATAACTTCCGACCTAGCATTAACAAACGGACTGAGTAATTTACAAACGTCTGAAAATTAAAGTGCCGCATCAAACAATTATGAACGACATCAAAGTGGCACACACAGACCATCCTGTAGAAGACTAACCCTCTAATAAACACTAATCGTAAAAAATAATTCAAACCATTAAAACTCTGTCCTGGGATTTAGAAGGTCTTCCTTGAGATGTGTTATGAAGCCCCATGGTGAAGCCGAGTTCCTTCGGAAAACCAGACCAACCACTTACTTAGGTATATGGGATGCTCGTACAATATGAGAGAGCGGGAGAATCTTCCAAATTGCTTCAGGCTATTAGTATTCTATCATGAGTGACCTTGAAACATTTTTCGGCCTACTGAGTTAGCTATTGTGAGATTAGATGGAGAGTAATAAGTAAGAATTGTCTTCCGAATTGCCGCAGAAATGAAGGGATACAACATGGAGTTGCTCAAAATCATTGAAGCACACTGGACGCATGTTGGACAACAACGACTAGCTTCAGGCGAACTTCTGTTATATACCGACCATGAAGAACAAAATGCCCCACATATTCGAGAAGTTAGATTCATAATATCCAAGCAAGCACAAAGTTCACTTATAGGATGGGAATCTCATGGACCAAGGATTATCAGTCTCCTTCAAAACAAAGAAAGAGGGCATTTCAATTAACGTCATCCAATGCTATGCGCCTACCAACGACTACAATGAAGACGCTAAAGATCATTTCTACGATAGGCTGCAGTCAATCGTCGAGAAGTGTCCAACAAAGGACCCGACCATTCTGATGGGAGATTTAAATGCCAAGGTCGGAATTGAGAACACCGGATTTGAAGAGATTAAAGGACGACATGGACTGGGAGAAAGGAACGAAAATGGTGAGAGGTTTGCAAACCTATGTGCCTTCAATAAACTGGTCATTGGCGTCACTATATTCTCACATAAACTCATCCACAGAACCACATGGACTTCACCGGATCATACCACACAGAACCTAATCCACCATATCTGCATCATCAAAAAGTTCAGGAGGAAGATGGAGGACATGAGAACTAAAAGGGGATTTGATATAGCATCAGATCATCACTTGCTGGTCGCCAAGGTGAAATTGAAATTCAAGAAACACTGGACAACGGGGCGGTCAATATCACAAAGTTTAATACGGCTCTTCTTCGGAATACTGACAAATTCAACAAATTCAGGATAGCCCTCAGCAATATGTTCCAGGCCTTTCATGATCTACTCAATGAAGAAGGAACTACTATGGAAAGCAACTGGAAAGAGATAAAAGAGGCAGTCACTTCAACATGTCATGAGGTTCTGGGCCAAAAGAAACACCATCACAAGGACTGGATCACTGTTGATACACTGGATAAGATTCAAGAAAGGAGGAACAAGAAGGCAGCTATTAATACCAGTCGAACAAGAGCAGAAAAAGCCAAGGCGCAGGCTGAATACACAGAAGTAAACAAGCAAATGAAGAAGAGTATCAGAACTGACAAACGTAAATATGTGGAAGATTTAGCAATGACAGCGGAAAAGGCTGCCAGAGAAGGAAACATGAGACAACTGTATGACACAACAAAGAAACTCTCTGGAAATCACCGTAAAC